GGAATCTTCCTTTACTTAGCTCCTGAGGCCAATGATTATGATTCATTAGCTGGTATAGGTTTTTCTAGGTTTTCTTCAAAACTTACAGCTTTCCAAACCCACCAATTCCTAATGCAATCCTTTATGTGAACATTGCTCCTAAACAAATTCTCAAGAATTACATTCCCTCCAGCAAATGTAACCAAGCACCGCTCGGCTCAGACGTCTGACATCTTGCAGTACTGCCCTGCAAAACCTGTCTGTCTTGTATACTTCCTGATCTCGGTCCTCTGTGTAAGGTTTATTGCTGACCATTGAGCACCCCTTCTGGCAAGAAATGCGATTGGGAACAACCACCCGTTTCCTCTGGATTCTTCATCCTCAAACTTACATAATCAAACACATTTTAGAGTTAAAGTATACGGTACGGTCACCTTTTGGCCTGCCATGCTCGGACCTGTCTTGAAGCTGCCCATCGATCACTGGTTCAGTGAATCACTTTCCATTGGCCGCCTAGAATCCGTTTGCACTGAAGGCGGAGCGTGCAAATCTCAACAAACAACAACCCAAATGCAAACAAGAAACAACTTGTAAACAGCACGTGAACAAGCAAAACTGAGAAAGCAAAACGGTGGCCCATCAATCGAAGGTGCTTAAAGCTGTTGCGGAAGTACTCGGGGCGCTTGAGGCAGCGGCTGGCTTCCAACGAGTCTTCTTGTCAGTGCTCGCTGGCTGACGAACGAACGACACCTGCGCAAAGGAACAAAGGAACGAACGATCGAACGAACGAATGAATCAATGAACGAATGGATGGTCGATAAACACCTTCACTACTTGACTCACTTGACCCTTGACCGCTATATTGTTCAACGAGTGACTTGATTCCTGAACCTTTGATATGACCAGGAAGGCCCGTGATCCTCAATAATGCATATGTTTTAAGGGTCCTCAATTGTGCAAAGCTTTTTCCTGAAGAAACATAGAAATAGTAATTCTTAATAGTAATTTCTTAAACAATCCTTTGTCGCGTTGGCTTGCTGAGAGTATTGATAAGTATGGGGTTCTCAAGTTCTTCTCAACACTCACAGCTTCCCAAAGCCGTCAATTCCTTAATCAATCCTTTATGTAGTAGCATGAAAGGATTGCAAAGAATACCTAATGACAAAGAATTTTAAAAGGAACATGAATACTACAATCAATTACACAAAGGAATCCTCACAGGAACCCAGATTTGTTTTGGTGGTAGTTTATTATAGAGGGTCTCATTTGTTTGAGGGACAGGGGGGGCCCTTTACTAATCAGGATCCAACATTAAGCCGCAATTACCATTGCTCCAGGACTGCGCGGTGAGCCGGGTGATCACTGCGGTGTCTCTCCAGGGCCGTAGCGCGGCGCCGACGATCTCCGCCTTGCCGCGCGTCCTCGCGCTGCCGGGCGACGTGCTGCCGTTCGTGCCCAGCGTGCGGGAGATCAAGCTCAGCAACTCCGGCGCTCACGCCACCTGGCCTCAGCTAGGAGCCAGAAGCTACTAGGGTGGAGGCCATCGCTATTAGGTTGGAGGCCATTACTATATACTAGTTTTAAAACATACTTATAGTAATAGCAAGAAGCTACTAGCAACATCCGGATCTTCGGATGGATCCGAATCCGTGGCCGGTCGGCCGTCCAGAGAAGCCCGGTTGAGGCGTTTCATCAGTCCCATGGCTCCGTCCCCATGGCTCAGTCACCATCGAGTTTGGACCAGTGTAAGTGAGCGACATGACATGAGGTTGGACCTGATGAAGCGGACAAGTGATCAAGCAGCTGTGCCAAACTGACGGATGTGGCGCACAAATCGCACAGGATGTGACAAAACCAACCCCAAAATACATGAAGCACAATATCTGAAAAACCTAGACCGGTGGTTTGGGTCCACGTGGCTGGCACCGCTGGAACCGAGGCCTCCTTCTTCCGAGTGCGCCTCACCTCCATGGTCACCGCAGATGCCAACTCCAGCACTGACCCCCTTTGGGTGGTCTCGGTGCCGGAGGTGGGCGTGAAGCCAGACCTGGGCGAGGCCAATCCACGTGGGGATCCCGTCCTGGAGGAGATGCGGATGCAGGTGCGGGCGTGGAGTCGGGCGCAGTGGTTCAACTCGGCTTCGAAGTCTTGGAGCGCAGACTTGCCGAGGTGGTTCCGTGATGTTTTGGGTCCATGATGGTCCATGAGAGGTATATGAATTGGTGTTTGGCATAGGGAGAGGGTGAGAACATTTGAGAACCTCCAGTTCTTTGAGACCAAAGACCCAAAGACCCCCAGGTTCCTCAATCCTTTGCCCAGTGCAAAAGCCCTCACACTCTTCAGGCCACTCGCCTGGCAAAAGCTTGGCCACCCTTGCCGCCTGAAGCTGGGCGTGAGGGTGCCTCACAGCTGCCTGGCTATGGCGCTTTGGCATCCTGCGCTGTGGAGCCTCATGAGGGGCGCATCCCCCCGGGTGGCGCCGTGACTGGCCTGGACATGTGAGGGTTTGCATAGAATGTTCAAACAGACAGACAAGATACTGCACACATGGTTCTGTTACAACAGAGGTGTGCTGAGAAAAAATCCTTTGCCACTCCAGGTTAATGTGCAGTGCAGTGCTTTTGAGGCTTAACAAGTTGCATCTTCATTCTTTCGATCTGTCCGCTGCCGGACCCACGGGTCCGCCCCGCGGGACCCATGGACCAGACCCGATCGGGTCCAGGTCACGCTGCGCGTGACGCTCCGCGTGGTCCATGAGTGCGACTTCCATGGACAGCTGGTCATCGACCTGCCCCTCGATGCGGAGTCCAGCGAGCTGGCGGCGGCAGCACCACTGAAGGTGAGCTCGGGCGTTTCGCTCGCTTGGGAGGGCCTCACAGGGGGCCCCGGTTTGTATGTTTTTTTATACAAGAGGGTGTGCTGTAGATGTGCTGTTGTGGTGGTTTGTGTGGACCATGGTGCGCCACTTGACTTGGAATTTGCTGGCACATGTGGTTCAACTCAATGGTTGAGGTTGCGGATGCCAACCTGAAGGCATTGCGAGCTCGGAAACTGTGATGTGTGTTTGTCAAGACGTTTTGTGAACGAAGGCACGAGGGTGTTTTTGGCCATTTCAGGAGTACACTTTGTAACAAACCAACATGATATTATCAATGGCCAACCTCAATGCCATTTGAGCGCATTGGGATGAACTTTGCAGACCACACTCACGACAATCTGGATGATCATATCGTCATATCGCATGGATTTGAACGCTCGTCATATCCGGCCGAGGGCCCTCGAGCCCGTCGCTCGGTCCAGCCGAGCCGGTTCCGATGCGTCGCCTGACCGAGGTGGGCATCACCGCCGCGGTGCGCTCGCCGCGGGCGGAGATCCGGAGCCGCGACATCTTGGACTACGGCGTGGCGCCTGTGACGGACAGCGCCGGTTGGGGGTTGCACCGGCGGTTCGGCCGTTCGGCCCTTTTTTTATTCCAGGAAGACATGTTTTTGCGCGGATAGGGTGGGGAAGGCAAGTTAATGGCTTTAGGACTTTTGCCCAGAACTCTTCTGAGAGAGAAAGAGGGGAAACGAAACTTATTTAGAATTTAGACTGCTGTTGCCGCACCCGTATATATGCAAGGGCCAGGAAATGATGGCCATGGACCTTCCATCACGACCTTTCCTGTAGGTTGTGCATCTGATGCATTTGGAGAGGGCATCTACAGTGTTGCCAGAGAAGCAGATGCATATGGATCTGCTCACCTTCTGAGAATTAACAATATACAGGCAGAATGATTATGTTTTTGAGTAGTGAGTAAATGTGTCATGCTGTAGCTTGCCGTGTTGGTGACACAGAGCTGGCGTGCTGGTGTCGGGACGGTGGATCAACGAGATAATACAGAAATCCATGTTTTTTTTCACGACGATTCTGGGGTTGCCTGGCAAACTGGCCTTGTTGACTCGTTGACCGTGTGCGTGTGCGTGACAGCGAGGGCGAGGGAGAGAGAGAGAGAGAGACCCACCTTTATGTAATTTACCAAACTTCGAGCCTCAAAGGATTCAATTGAGAAACCGTGAGATTTCAGGAAGGGGGGTCATGTGCCCGTCAGAGTGCTCGTGGGCATCGCGGTCAGCGAGGTGGAGGTGGTCAGTCCTATTCAGCACCTGAGAGGGAAGAAAAACGTGTCACCTCCTATTTCAAGACAATGGTGCCCAACCGGTCAAAGTCCGCAACCAATCCATCAAGTCCAGCGGCTCATCGCCTTGTTCATCCGAGGTGCGGGCCCATGCACGCCACACACTGAAAGTGGAGCTGAGCAATCCCACGGAAATGCCCATGCTGCTGCAGCTGCGGCAGTTCAAGGACCTGGGAATGGACTCATCGTGGCGCATGACCAGCATGATTCGTGTCGTGTTTCTGAGGTTAAATCAGGGCAAACAAAAGGGGCAGCCCTGAGTGCATTCGGTCCTGTAGCCCTTCCCAAAGCCGGCTGCGTCTTGCGGTCCCACCCCGGTGATCAGAACTAGACTAGACACAGCCCTCGACTCTTGGGTTGCCTCCCAGAGAAACACGTTTGCAAATTTTGCAAACAAATAAGGCCCGGGAAGGCCAGTGAGCTGATTCTTGCACGTTGGAGCGTAGATCAGACTGTCGGTGGTCGATGGTGGTCGCGCTCTGCACATAAAGGAGCCATTTGGAACCCAAAGGCTCCACAAGTGCCCGACGAAACTGAACAAAACCCTCCCCTAAGGCGTTTGGCCACCCACCTTGCGCTGCATCCATGGGGGCCTTGGCGTCCCTTGTGCTCAGATCCAACGAATTCGCCACCGGTTGGTGTCGAATGTCCTCGCCGCGAGGAGCGAGATCGAGAGGCGCACGTCTTCCCGGTGGAGTCGCACCGACAGGTGGTGAATCTGTTCTTGGACGCAGTGAACCAGCGAAGGAACCAGGGCTTTGCGGAGATCGCCTCGGATCAGTCCTTTGGCAAGTGGGGAAGGTTGGAGTGGGGTTCAGAGAATGATGATGGGCCATGAATGATCATAAATTGCCGATGGCCATCAGAATCCGTACCGCCTTGAAGTAAGCGAAGCTAAGGAAACCATTGACAGACCTTCACACCCTGCATCTTCTAGGTGGCTCTATTGAGTTCCACCTTGCTTGGAGGGAGGTATCCCGAGGACTACTGAGGTAGACGTCCAAGTGTTAGGGGCCTCTCACTCTCCGCTTTCGAATCGCCGCGAGGTACATGGAATTTCCGGCGCAGCCTTGGGTCCATTCCAAGAGCGGATGCATGGAACAGACCGGCCGCGGGAAGTTCGGCACCAGGCTGGCGGCCACCCACTGTCTCCATGTCTCTCCATGTCTCCGAGCATGGTGCTTTGTCAAGCTCCAAGTTCCGCAAGAAACACTGAACGGCCCCACCCTTGACGATGTGAGAGTGTCGCATCCGTTTTGGAATTGCATCCCTCGTAATGCTTGCACAACAAGGTGCCGCGCGCAGGGTCATGATACATTGTGTCGGAGAGTTGTCGCGAAGCAGAACTTCTTTCTTGTGCAGTTGGCTGCCCGACAGGTCTCCTGAGCATGCTGAGGATGAGTCGGTGCACATCGCGGCAGTGCCAGATGAAGAGGACCTGTGCATCCGATGAGCATCCTGGGTGAAGATCTTTTGAAAGGATTTGCCCTTCGCTGAGGAAGAGTGAGAGGGCTCAACCGATGTCAATGTGTTTTTTTCCTCTGAAGCCCACTCAGCTGAAGAGGCGGGTGATGTTATCCGCCAACAGGGCGAGCCAAACAAGCCAACCTATTACGCCTTTTGCATCCTTTTGCTTTGAATCACAGTGACCGGAATCCTGTGCAGAAGTGGAGACATCTTGTTTACTTCTCCTGAGATCGATTTTAGTGAGGGACAGGGTTTCCTGCAGGAGCATGTATTATGTATCTAGAACAAGACCAGCTTTGCAACCATCGTGCAGTTCAGCTTGAACTGAGTGGGCCACACCGAAAGGGTGCCCCAGACTTCCCCATGCACTTCCATGCTTAATGCTTGGTTCTTGTTGGAGCACACGTATGTTACATTATGTTACGTGCATCTCAACTCAGAATATATGTTATACTGTAGTTTTCTTGGATAATATAAATAATAAATATATAACTACATCAGTAACACCATCACATGTCCCCTCCAGGAATCCAACCGCAAGCATCAAACACTTAGTGACTTAGTGTTGTGAAAAGAGCAGCTGCGGCAACTCACGTACTTCAGCCAACTGTTGAACTCCTCCCACACCAGCAGGAATTATCACAACTCTACAGCACTGCGTCCTCCCCATCCATCATGTCCCCGCTCCCTCCCCCGGAAAAGACCCACATCGGCCCAGCTGTCACGCGGTGCGCGTCGCTACAGCCACCGTGTGGTGAGGACTTTGTGTTCTCGCCAGACTTCTTGGCGCTTTGGCCGGGGAAGTGCGGCGAGATCGAGGTGACGCTGAGGAGTCGAGAGGTAGGGAAGTTCGACGCCCTCTTGGAGGCGGGGGCACTGGGAAGAAAAAGGGGGGCGAGATGTGGGTCCCTGAGTATGAGATATGGTGGGATTGAGATGGGTTTGGAGAATGTGGATAGATGTTAGTGAAGGAATTGCAGGTAATTTGCAGATGAGGTAAGTGAAGTGGTGTTCATATGAAGTTGGGGGCCTCTATGAGTTTCAGACGAAGCCAAATGCCTTGGAGTGAAGTTGGGACTTGGCCGCTGCTGATCTTGAAGCGGTCGGATTCGTGCCTGAGGCAGTGGGCTTCAACTCCCTGCATGCGCAGTGCTTGGAAGTATTTGCGTCGGTGCAGCTTCCGCAACTCGGTGCCAGCTCCACTCATTACACAAATTATTTTGTATAACTATATCTAGTTGACATGAGCTGCGTTCTGGTTTTTCGAAAGCACCTACGCAGCGTTCTCCGTAAAGAACTGATGATGATCGTCGTCGTCGTCGTCGTCCTCCTCCTCCTCCTCATCATCATCATCATCATCAGCTCTGCGCCTGGCTTATCCTGTGGGACAACATCTCAGCAGCGTTGCTGATTGGCTACTTTATGCCTGCGTGCTACGCAAACAGAACTTGTCTACAGCGTGCAGGTAGTCTCGTTGATCTTTTTGTGGGCTATGCTGACCAAGGCTGACACAAAAAGATTTCGCTACATTTTTTGAGCCATCACTGCCACTGCTTGTCAACATGTGACTTGCCGCTGTTTTCATCTATGTGTCTTCTCTCAGGTCACCGGTCTTCTATACTGATCCATGTGGCCTATGCTGACCGGAGCAGATGAAATAGTGGCACTACTCACTACTCTATGCATTGCCTTGTTTTTTTCATCTATGTGCCTTCTCTGAAGTCTTCTCTACTAATGCATGTGCCTCCGTATGAACCCCTGCAGCACATTGGGACGTTCCTACAAAAATAGAAAACATAATCACCATCATTATCATCCTCAACCTCATCTTTGCATTCTCTCATCGCCTGCTGTGCTTTTGGACCAGCGTGTCGTCTAGTTCGATTCGCAGTCCTCCACTGCACACTAATTCTATGTTCGACCAACCCGACCTCGCGTTCTTGCGCCCCACCCCTGGATACTGAGGCTGGTCCGGATCAACACGCACCACGCCACAGGGCTGCAGATGAACACTGGTCCTGGCTTGTGGGGTTGTCATGAATCTTGCTTCATCCCCACAGCAGAGGGCGGCAAAGGGCACCCAAGAGTTGGTACAAAGCACATTAGTGCGCCAATAGCGCCACCAGCGGAGCCGCTAGAGGCATAGCATTGGAGGTTCTATATGCCCATAGCATACATCATCATGAGTGCCATGAAACATTCTTTGCCTTCTTCAGCCCATGTGCAGATTCAGATGAAAGTTGCAGATGGCAATTCCGTGGTTTCACGTCCGAGGCACATTTTCCCGTGACCTATCTCAGGAGAAGGGCTTCCAGGGCATCCGATCTCCTAGAGCAGGGTTCGTGAGGGTCGGAAGATCTCTGGCAGGTTTGAGCTGTACAGCCTGGCCTTCATTTGCTGGTTTACTGCGGAGGTTACCCTTGGGCGATATGTTCGATTCTAGCCTTCTAGCCAGTGTGCGCAAACTCGAATGGACGGATGACGGATGGAAGCAACCTCGCCAAAGAGTTCAACCATTTCATTTTACAGTGTATCAACCCAGTTGGTGAAGTGGTACTATATTGTATGGTATGACTGGTGGTGGAACATAGACGGCTATGGGTGCTCAAAGCCTTTCCCGAAAGGCGGTAGGATCTTCCTTGCTTGTCCTTGCTTCAGTTTTGTCAGGCGTCATCAGAATGCATCTGCTTTATGGAATCCAACTGTCCTTCAACGTTTGTAACAGTGGCTTCGACAAAGCAAAGCCCAATCAACCCCAATCCCATATCCTTTGGACAGCTTATTACTGTATATAGACGACCTTAGTGCGATCCTTCCCCATCTCATGCTTCGACCTACCCCCCGGCTTGGTCCGCTGGTCTTCGCTTTCCAGGACCACGTCCGAACCGATGGACGTGGAGTTGCGCAATGAATCCGATATGCCAGCGGACTTCCATTGGAATGTCCCAAGAGACAACATGGAAGCATGCCACTTGGAAGCGAGGAGGGAGGCGAAGATGGTCGCTTTTGGGCTTTCACCACGTGGTGTGCCTGCAGTGTTTGATATTTTGTGTTTGGACCTCGATCGCCTCAGCTCGGCGGGCGCGCATGCGCCAGCCTCAGCCCGTTCCTGAGCCTCTTTGAATGCCAGCTGAGGCTTAGAATGCCAAATTCAGCCAATGCAGGTGGGGAAAAACTGCCAAAACACGAAACGTTGCCCGATGGAGTTCGACAAAAGGACACTAATGAAGCTTGAAGTATAAAAACATATAAAAACAATTGTGTGTGATATCTTGAAGTGGAAATCAAAGCTACTTTAACATGACTCTAGGATGAAGCTTCGCAGGGGCTTGGCACTCCCTCAAGCCCTGGCATCATGCGTCCATTTCTGCTGGCGGCCCATGTCAGCTTGGGCTCATCATGTCAGATCTCACCCTTCGCCAGGGCCATATCCCACCGCGAGGGAGTCACAGGTGCACGATCATTGCCGTTCCCACCAAGCTGGTTGAAGATGGAGGCGCGCGGAAGAACAACATTCAAAAATATTGCACACACATACCACCGTTTAGCACTTGCAATGGCACGTGGTAAGCCGTATGAATATGTGTGAATCATGGAGATCGAATGATATTATGATTATATATATAATATGTATATGTATTGTTTTTCTTGTGGTTGAGTTTTTGTCAGGATGGCAGCGCTGTTGATTCAACGGAACATCATAACGGATCTCAAGTCTAAGTGGTGATGTTCTTCTTGCCCATGTCCAGTCTTCCAGCAGGGTGCCGATACTCCGTGCTCGTGAATGGGTGATTTAATGATCCAGCATATGATGTTTGTTCAGATGAGAGCTATATATGTTGATATGACGGACTCCATGTCGGAACCTGCGGAGACATTTATGAGGAGTTCCTGGCCTCAGTGGTCCTTTCATTTTGAGGCCCGGCCTGCTTGCCTTGCCAGCTGTTTGTGGAAGAGATCCTACAGCCGTTGGAGCATCTGGGCAAATAGGCATAGTTGATGCAAAGCATCAGTTTACTCTAAGGAGGAAAGCTCACCAAACAACCACATAAGCAATTCGCAACTCAGTGCGTCCAAATGCATCCAAATGCAAAAAACAGCGTTTCTTCAACCAAGGTTGCGTGTAACTGCGATCGTCTATGGCTGCGAAGTGGACTACGCCGTGGTGGAGCCGGGACAGCTGCCACCAGAGATCTCCCTGCAGCCGCGGCAAGCTGGGGAGTCCGCGTGCCCCGGCCAGTCGAGTCTTCAATCTTCACTCAAGACTCGATTTGAACATACATGGAGGTCCAAAAAGGTTTATATCTTCAGAAAACTCCTGATTTTCATGTTCGTGATTTGAAATTATGACATATTATGACCACGACCGCCCTGCCAGACCGCATGCAGTCGAAACTCTCCCGAAGCGGAGTAGGGCCCTAGTAGCCTCTTCCTAGTAGTACGGCCAGGAGACCCTAGTAGCTGATCAGTGCTGTGGATTTCTGGAGGTGGGGGATGGCGGCGTTCTTCCCACCAATCCCCGGCGCTCCCCACAGGTGCGACCCACGGGGCACCTACATGATCACCACCGGGCGAGCCTCGCGGAAGTTCCCCAGCGTGGACTTCGGCAGCTTGCCGCTGCAGCAGGCGAAGGTGACCCATGTGGTGCTGTACAACCGCACGGGGATTGCCACACCCTTCAGCTGCTTGGCATAGTGGGTCAACGGGTACCAGGGTCCCCTAATGGGGGTCCAATTATAGCTCCTTAGAGGTTAAGGTATGTCCACTAACCACCCCTATCCGGGGGCCCTGGTACATGGGTGAAACGTGAATTTCTTAGTTGCCATCCTTCGCATCCTTGGAGTGGTCGAGGCTAATTACACTTCGTGCCAATCAGGGAACACTCTTCTTAGGGAGTGGCATGCCAGGTCAGATGTACAGTCGTCAAAGCATATCAAAGCTAAATTAATTATTGACAATCGTGTTTGAGATGAAGGGTTGCAGTTTTCATCAGTTTTCTATAGCTTTCTTCATATTGCCACCAGAACACTGCAAACAGGTTAGGATTAGGATTGATTTTTTGCACGATTTTGTAAACATATTGGATACTAACCATCCAATATATGACACTGTATAATTTATCTATCAGTATATATAGATCACGAATCATGTTGTTTCTCTCGGCAGGCGTCAAGATCGACAAGAACCCTGCCTTCGATCCTTTGGTAAAGGGTCGAAAAATTGGCGACAACCTCGATGCTTCGACCCGCATGTACGCGCTCATCAATCAATCAGGTCGGATAGGCAGCAGAATGCCTAAGCATGCTCACACACACACACACACTCACGACTTAAGATAAACCCATGTGGTTCCTTTATATGAAGGAACACGGTTTGAACGAATTCTTTTTCTCTCAAGCTGGTTCATGCCCACATCCTTTTCCGTAGGGTCTTTCTTAGACCTCCTGCGGCTGGGGGTTGAGTCCAATTGGTTTGGGCTTTCTTGCCCTGTTCACTGCGGAGCTCCTTCCGTAGTTGCCCTGGTCCTCTCCTTTTCGTCCGGACTTGGACTCGGCCTCTTCCTCGGGGCCTCTTGCTTCCTGATCCTGCTCATACGAGTGGAGGTGTTGGAAAAGAAGGTGATTGAGCTTGAGAAAGGGCATCACGACGACTTTGAGTTGGTATCAGCCGCTCCCCGTGCACCAAGTCCAGCAAGGACATCATCCAGCTCGTCGAGCTACAACGCCCTTGCCCTTGAGATCCCTGAATTGCCTAGTGAGGCTTTGTGGCTTTGTGGTAACTTGCGTGGTGGCAAGCTATCCTTTCAGCAACGAGCTCTTCGTGCTTGGCAGGCCGGCTATTGGGCAAGATTTGTGTTGGAGGGACGAATTGGAAAGCCGAGGCCGTCATCACCTTGTGACCTCGCCAATTCGACCTACGTTGTGGTTCGAGCAAAGGGCATCACTGAGCCAGTCCGTGTGGAGAAGGCGGCTGACTATCGTGCATTGCTCGGAGACTTTTCTGGTGCATCAAGCCTTTCCCACGGCTTTGCATCAAAGGCCGAGGCAAAGGTATACTGCCTTGGAGTTGGGATCCCTTACCCTGAGAAGCAGTATCAATGGAGCTAGATGCAATTGTGCCGATCACCCAGGAGAATGTCGAGTCCTTTCGAATTTTCTGGCCTCCAGATCCTCTCCTTGTGCAGGCTCGTCCAGGGCTTTGCCTTGTGGTGATGGTGAGGCAAGCAGCAGGAGGTGGTTTGCTGGTTGCAATGCCTTCCGCCCTCGTCCCTGCTGGAAGCCTACCTGTCGATCCTTCGGAGGCAGATGTCATCGGCCCTCATACTCATTTAGAGGTTCCAGGGGTCCGGATGTCAGACATTGGAACAGAACATTTGGGCACAGATATAAGTCTACAGGTGGTAGACCTGGGGGTTGGAGCGCTGGCTGCGCTGACTCCTTTGTCCATGGTTCCGGAGTCAGAAGATCAGGGCCTGATTGGATTTGGCGAAGATATAGACATCATCCCCGACCCTTCTATTCTGGTCGATCTGGTCAGAGAGTGGTTGGCAGCCCAATCTGGCCAGCGAGCCGCCTTCTACTCTGCGGAAGAAGGAGGAGATTTCGTGGAGGAGGAGGTGAGGGCTGTTCCTTTGCCTACAAGGAGAGAACGAACGACGGCCATCACACCTCCAGATCCATCCCCGCGGCAGCAGAAGGTCAAGGAGCCGCCCAAGAAGAGGGTCACTACAGCAGCCCTGTCAGAGCAGTTGACTTCCCTAATGGACTTGATCCCGGCTATGACCGATCAGATCGCAGAGCTACAGAGGGGACAAACGGCTTTGCAAGAGACAGTGCATCAGCAAGCTATGACCCCTCCAGTGAGAGCAAGCCAGGTCCCGGTTTCTCAGGCCGTGCAAGGGGTCAGCAACTTTGCAAAGATGGTGGGGCAGCCGCCCAGGACCAAGGCACTGCAGCCAGTCCCCCCGGGCCTTCCTATAGTGACTTCTGGACTCGATGGAAATGTGGCCCCTCAGACATATGCAGAGGAGACCAGCCCAACTCATCAGGTGGATCCATTTGCCCAGGCAATGTTAGAACAGAGCAAGGCTCTCATGACCCTCGTGGCTCAGATGCAACAGGGTGGAGATCCACTACTAGACGGGCAGCCATCATCATCCGGAGGATCCTTAGGCACCAGAGGGTCGGTTGGACGAGAACGTCTACAGAGGGAACTGTCTACGAAGTCAGGTGCTTTCTTTCTTGCTGTGTTGCAAAATGCTGTGAAGAGGCTCAGGCCTGCCAGCCCAAAGCCCCAAACGATCGAGGAGATCTCTGGCACCGACTTCTCGATGATTCACTATTTGGAACGCTTCGGCGGCTACGGGCAGTTCAAAGAACTGGGTCTGATCCAATATGCCCTTGCTCACATCACAGATGCTCTTGTCCATTCGGACCTCAATGGCGCAAGGGACTATCTCGCCCTCCTCATGGTGGGAGTCGACCAAGCAAACTTGGATGGCAACAAATGGGAGCTGGCCTACCGAATGATGCTTCTAGAGGAGCCACCATCTCAGCTCTGGAGTTATCGCAATCAAAGCTTCGACCCTCGGTCCAAGAGCTTCTCGTCCCTGGCCCCTCAGCAGTGGACTACAGTTGCTTTGGCTTATTCCAAAGAGATGGATTACATTCAGACGAAGCGTCAGGAAGTTACCCATCCAAAGGCCAGCAGCAGCGCCCAGCCTACCCTGACGCCGGGCCCCAAGAAGAAAGGCCGTTTTCCACAGGCCAAGGCTACAAGTCAAAATGCAGATCATGCTGCCTCCTAGCTCCGGCCCTTCGAGGTGACAGCAATTTCTCCTCTGGTACCTCCCCTGTACCTCCCTTGCCGACCTCCTCTACCTCAGAGCGGGCTTCCGCTTTACACGGTCGGGGGGGACAGGGGCGGGAAAAGGGAGATGAGGAGCAGGAGCAGCTGGTGCAGTCAGAGAGGATATGTGTCTATGAGCCGTCGGGGAACGGTTATGGGTCTATGAAGAGCAGGTCGTTTGAAAGTGATGCCTGCATGCCTGGAAAATTTTGTGAAAAGGATATTCATGCCCTGTCGTACGAGGAGTCGAACAATGACGGAGACTCCGATGACGATGGAGATGGCGATGATGGCATGGACCAATTAGATGCAACAGTCTGGCCAGAGAACTTGGGACACTCGCTCCTGCACCCTACGCCTTTCAATAGTTGGGTGCATCAGTTTGTGCGACAAGTTCTTGCTGCCAGAACCAGGTTCTCCTACTTTGTGATGAGGACCATTTCCGCCAGCCGCAGTGGTCGTAATGACATCACTGCTACCGCCTTGTTTCCCATCCCTTTCCCTTTTGAGGAGGCGTTTGTGGATGGCCCAGATTTCAGCAGCAAAAAGAAGAGAAGGACAAAGGCGCTGCAGAAGCTCATGCATCTTGCAGTGATGGCCTTGAACTATGAGCATGTGAAAAGTCCGATGACAATCTTGCAGCTGATCCGGAGACGTCCTGGTCCTTTGCACAAGGCTGTTTTCAGCCGGATCAAGATGTTTTTCGAGGCGTGCGGCCCACCTGCTTCCATCTCAGTAGCAGGATGTGGACGTAAGAAGTTTCAATTAGATGCAAGGCATAAGGAACTTGTGATGGCCCTGGCTTCCTGTGGGCTGAACCCAACTTCCTTGTATCATCGTGGTGCATCCGGCTGCAAAGTTCCTGTGGACAATGATGCTGCAGAGGAGCTTCGACCATACCGGCCCCTATGTGCAGACAGGATTGTGTTGTCAGGGTCAGGGAATTGGGATTGTGAAGAGTTTCTTTCTGATTTGCTGTACATGCACTTTGTGGAGCCTAGCATTCTTCGTTTTCACGTGATCCCGCCCCCTGGAAGTTTCCCTGACGCTGCCAGAGTTGACCATGAGCAGAGCTTCAGATTGTGTAAGGTGTGGGATGCAAGGCGGCTCTTGCGCCTCATTCCAAGGTCACTAGGACCAAGAGATGATGAGCTTTTCCTGCACACGAAGGTATTCGGCAACTACAAGAACAAGGATGTTGACAGGCAAATTGGAGACCGACGTGGGAGGAACTTCGTTGAGGGGCGAATCGCCGAAGGACCATCCCATGAGATTCCGAATGCTACGGCCATCCTTCAATTAGAGGTGAAGAGGTGCAAAGAGGTGCTTGTAGGAGCTGTAGCTGACAGGAGAGATTTCTATCATCAGTTTGCCACCTCCTACGAGCGATCGGCTACCAACACTATCCTCCCTCCTTTCCGACTCAAGGACTTTGCCGGCTTCTATGCCTATGCCCAGTTTCAAGAGGATTTTGGTCAGAAAAGAAGGCCTCAAAGAGAAACCGCTGGAGATTTCCTGGGGATGCCGAAGCCTCTCCTGGTCCAGTGTGATGATGATACTCCTGTGTTGGCATCTTTTGGTGCGCTCTTTCAAGGAGATCACCTCGGCGTAGAATTTGCTTGCTGTGCTCATGCCTCTATGCTGGAAGAGGCTGGCTGCCACCCTTGGCACAACCGCCTGTGTGCAAACCAGCCCATCCTGCATAACAAGCCTGTTACAGGCCTGGTCATTGATGACTTCTTCGTCCTCTCCTCTGAGGACATTTGCTTTGCAAGGGGCAGCTCTTACATTGGAGGAAGCAGCTCAAAAGTGTGGCTCCAGAAGGCCAAAGAAGCCTACAAAGTCCAGGGCGTACTTGGCTCGGATGACAAGGAGGTCTCTGACTCACTATGCTTTAAGATCATTGGAGCAGAGGTCAATTCTTCCGAAGAAATGGCAAAGGAAGGTATTGTGGCCGTTGGGTCCCCCGCTGAGAAGCGCTTTGGCCTTATGATGTTAAGTGCCTGTGCTGCGAGCTTGCCCTACACTTCGGACGCCCTGTTGTCCTCGTTGGTTGGTTCCTGGATCTCTGTACTACTTTACAGGCGACCTATGATGGCTCATATCAACAAGCTTTTCCAGGTGATCCCCGCTCAAGAGCTTGATCCCGATGAGCCCGTGCTATGGCCACTTAGTCGCGGAGCTGCCGAAGAACTCCTGGCGCTTGTTTGCCTGGCTCCTCTAGCAGCTTCCAACATTGCTGTGCCTTTTTCTGATCAGATCTACGCTTCTGATGCTTCTACGTTGAAAGGAGGATTGGTGTCTGCCACCGTGAGTGAAGAGCTATCACGGATGCTATGGAGGACATCTTTGAAGAAGGCAAAGAACCCCAAGCTTCAGAGCAGAACAGCTGCCCTACACCGCATCCATGATGCACACTTTGAGGAGGAGGATGTTTTTGAGGAGCGCGAAGAGGAGGGTGAAGAGGTTTCCAGACCGATTGGTCTATACTTTGATTTCATCGAATTGTGTGGTGGTGCTGGAGTCGTCTCAAGAGAGCTGGTGAGGTTGGGCTGTGTATGTGGCCCTGTTTTCGACATCAGCTACTCCAAGCGCTATGACATCACAGACAAGAGAGTTTTTGCCTGGATTGCTTTCATGTGTGAAGAAGGCCGGTTGAAGTCCTTTCTTGCTGCACCACCCTGTACCACATTCAGTCCAGCAGCGCATCCATGCCTTCGGACTTACAAGTTGCCTTTGGGCATTGATCCTTCTCACCCTCGGGTCGTTCATGGCAATGCTATGGCCTTCTCTTGCGGAGGCTTGCTGATGGTCGCAAAGAGGACTAGGACCCCAGGGATGATGGAGACTCCTAGGCGCTCGAAGTTGAGGTGGACGCCGCAATGGAAGCAATTGAAGAGCCTTGGGGCAGATGAAGTCTTGCTAGCCTCCTGTGAGTATGGGTCCCCACACCAGAAGGAGTTTGCTTTTCTGACGGTGGCCATGAACGCTCGATCTCTTGCCCGAAAGTGCTCTCGGACTCACAAGCGCATCACCATTGAGGGCAGGTATACCAAGCCTAGTGCTACGTATTGCGAGGGGCTCGCTCGAGCTCTGGCCTTGGTTTTTGTCAAGCACATTGAGGCCATCTCCGAGAGTGCAACCGAAGGAGCTAAGGTTCAAGGCCTTGAGGATGTTTTGTCGAATGAAGTGCTGCTTTCTTCTAGTTGGCAGCCCAGGGCATCATGGAAATGGAGGGGGTCCTCCCACATCAATATCCTGGAAGCTGCTGCCGCGCTGAGGGCTCATGAAGCTGAGGCCTTGAGGGGAGGTGACTTTAGATTTGTCTCCTTCATTGACTCCAATGTGGCCCTTTGTGCAATCACCAGAGGACGCAGCTCTTCGAATGCCCTTCGCCATCTCCTCAAGAGGTCCAGCACGTTGTCCTTGGCGTGTGGGCTGCACCATGCTGGAAGGTATGCTCCTACAAGGCTCAATCCCGCTGATCATCCAACCCGGGACACTGAGATTCCTCCTGCTTTGGAACCAGCGCTTAGTCTTCTTCGAGATGAGGAGTTGAGATGGCTTTCGTCTTTGTCAGGTATGAGGAGATGGGCATCTAACTGGCTCAGGCTCAGCCTTCTTCTATGTCCTTCCTGGACTGTCTTTTTCACTGAGCACTCATGCCTTCGTCGCTACGGCCCCGAGACTCGATGCTTTACCCCTCCATGGACTTCGATGCCACCCTTGGGTTTCCGGGTGAGGGACCAGTGGCTCTCCTTTTGATTGGACTCGTAATTCCCCTGGCCTTTGTAGATTTAGCCGGCGCGGTTAGTGCAAGCCATGGAGATGCCATTCGCAAAAAGCAGCGAGAAGGCTTTGAGCTGCCGGAAGGAACACGGGTGACGGCACTGACCTCGTCAATTCGTAGCCAGTTGGCGGCTGCGTTCAACGGATGGCTCAGGAATGAAAATTTGTCATTTGAAGGTGTGTTTATGGCAAACCCCCCTGACTATGACAAGGCCAACTCAGTGCTTACCAAGTATGGGAGATTTTTGTTTGCTGAAGGAAAGCCCTACTACCACCTCTCGGAGACAATCAATCTGGTCAGTGCGAAGAGACCAAGTCTTCGCCGTGGGCTTCAGCAGGCCTGGGATCTTTGTGCTATGTGGAGCTCCTACGAGCCTGTTGAACACCACAAAGCAATGCCAGTACAGCTGTTGCTGGCTGTTCTGTCGACATGCCTCGTATGGGGCTGGGCCCGAGAGGCCGCCATCTTTGCTATGTGCTGGGGAATGCTGTTGAGGCCTGGAGAGCTGATAAATGCACGGCGCCGAGACATCATATTTCCCCAGGACGTCAGGTACTCAATAGACCACGTCTTGTTGAAGATCCTGGAGCCTAAAACCAGGTTCCGTGCTGCTCGCCACCAGTCGAGCAAGCTTGAGCCCGCAGACCTCATCCAAGTTGCCTGGATCGGACTGGGGAAGCTAAAGCCCCATGAAATGGTATGGCCTGGTTCATCGTCTACTCTGAGGCATCGCCTTGATAAAGTGCTCCTCAAGCTTGGCCTGCCGATCAAGACGACGAACAAAGAGAAACCTCTCACCCTTGCCTCCTTTCGCCCAGGAGGCGCAACGTATCTCATCAACCAAACAGAATCGGCTGAACTTGTGCGCCGACGAGGGCGCTGGATCTCATTGAAAGTCATGGACATCTACCTGCAAGAAGTTGCGGCAAGCACCTTCATGAATGACATCAGTGATGAGTCACGACAGAAGATTTTGACGGCAATGGAACAGTTCAGTGAGATTCTGCAGATGAGCTCCGGGTTTTCGGCTTCGTTTTTCCCGGAAAAGGTGTGGTATCTTTTGTTCAGTCAGCACGGCACCAGTGTCAACATGACTGGGACCAAGGGGCAAAGCGGGAGCCAAATGGCCTAGCCGCCACCAGTCCACCCGAGCAGAAATGCTGGCGGAAAAAGAGAGTGGCACGAGTGTCCCT